TGAATTATAAGGCATGATTAAAAATGATAATAACAGAGCTGAAACAATATCCTGTTCATCATTCATCAAAAGAAAAAGAAATACCTGCCTCGGGGCTGTAATAAGACAGAAAGTGGGACAGGGAGACCGGTCCTCCCACGGAAGATTCTGCGGGAAGCATTCCAAACATGACAAATTCAGCGTTCACCCAACAGATGAAGTAATGACACTAGTATTTGTCCATAAAATGTAATTTAGCCAGACTACTCCAATGAAATCAGAAGCTTTAATGCTATAAAGCAAGGGTTTGGGAATATTTGTACCTTATTAAGGGGGAAGAAGCAAGGGAGAAGATTTAATTTTCCCTTAGCTTAGCTGAACCATCACACCGTGGGCTTTGTTTTCAACAGCAAACCTCCAGCACTAAACAATTTGCTTAATTTCTTCTCAGAGATACATTCGTTGCCCAAAGCCTAATACCAGGTGTGAAGTCCACACTCAGGCTTATCAGCACTTGAAATAAAATCTTCTCCCCTCTCAGACTACCCAAACACCTGAGGGCAGGCATCAACGTGGATTCCTTCGTGCTTTCAGCCTCTGTCTCATCATGTCCCGGGCCCCAAGCACTTGAGCAGAGATATCAAGCTAAAGCTTGTCCATGTGAAAGAGCTAGTCAACAGCTCAGAGCACATCTGCCAGAGATGCAAGTTGAGGCTTGGTTGCAATACCTACGCTTAATTCCTGCCAGACATGAGCGATGCAACATGCAAGGTATGTATTTAGTTGGTGGCGGTTCCTTTTCCCTAAAAAATAAGGCTTTGGAAACTAAGAAACATACAGGAGTTAAAACAAACTGGTTCTGAACTTTATTTTGAAGAAACAAATCTTGGCAAAAACAAATACCAATGCATATGTTTTCATGAATTCAGAACTGACAAAATGGAAACATGTCCTAAAAAAAAATATATGTTTCCGTGCCATGTTTGTGGCTAAAGCCTCTGAAAACACAGGAAAATCCAAAAATAAAACTGGCTTGAAACATAAACAGAGTTGCTTCTTCATAAAGAGAGAAATACAAATAGTGAATAGGTATCAATAGTACAAAGCAATTTTCATTTTAATAATACGCTATAAACAGCATGAGTAAAATTCACTCCAAACCTCCAAGAGTTCAGGATAGAAGCCCAGCAGCAAAGCTACTCACATATGTAATTTCTGGGGCACAAGGTTTAATCTTAAGAGTCATTTTAAACAGCTCCCAGATGAGAAGTTATTCTCGCACTGTTTTCATATGAAACTACAAATTACTGTTCAGGGACAACTGCTTAGTGCTCATCTACCTCCGTGGTTCCTTCCTCCGTAATATGAGCCAAAAACATGCATACTAGGCAAAGACCAAAACACAGCTAAGCTGGGGTGCAAAGAGGCCTGTTTTAACCAAATATACTTGTCGCAAGCTATAGGGTAAAGCTGCAAGGGTAAACAACAGGGTCTTCTCACACATTTTTGGAAGATGTGTGGTGCTATGGCAGCTGCTTAAGAAAAAGGAAAAAACCGGGTAATGTGCAGAACTTAATCTGAAACCAAACTGATCTTCGGTTTCCCTGGATGATGACATTAAATAGGACAGGAATACCTGCAATATGAATGTTCACCGACTAACCCGTTTTCGCCGTTAAAGTATAAATTCAATTAGTTACTTCCCCGCTTAAACAGAACGGCCGCTGCTGAAATTGCACTCTGATGATAATTGCAATCCAAGGGTGATCTAATTATATACGAGTCTCGGTGGCCACATTCCCACGTTGCTTCCTGCAACCCGGATTCACTACAAGACAACTGCAAAGTAGAAACCACACAGCTTTCAACTGCCCTCCCTTAAGACTGTCCGACTTCGCATGCGCTTAACAAGAACAGAGCTAGCCTATTAGTAAGCTTGCTATAAAACCTACGTTTCTACCTGTCATTAAATACAAAAGAATACAAAGGCACTTTGGCTGCATGTAAAATGCAGCTAACGGGTTAAACTTTTAAGGGAAAAAACGTTCTTTAATTAAAGCATTGGATTAGGACTCAAGTACCAACTTTCATTTTAGGCTCTGCCACAGGCTTACGGTGTGACCCAGGGCAAGGATCACTCAGAAACTCAGCTTTTCATCTATAGAAGGGTCCTTCTGCCAGGCTCTGTCAGGGCTTGTAAGCACTTACTGTGGGCAGTAATTACAAGTGTTGCCTTGTTCATCACATAGCTGGTAATAATTGAAGAATCTGGATAGTACTATAATAAAAAGCTAGAAATGCTACTCTTAGCTGCACAAAATCCTGACAGATGGAGTTTTGCATCCTTGCCATTTCCATCAGTGCAGCCTCACACTTTTACTCGTAAGCGGAGTTCTTCAACACAGCCTAATTTAAGTCCTTTTTGAAAAAGGAGAGTGAGGTATCAGGGTATCCCAAACCTTTAGAGAATAACGTTGTCCAACACAGAGTATCCTGGCCAACTTTACTGGATAACTCTATGGTACCACTGTAAATGCGCACAAGTATTCTGTGTTATATATAGGAGCTGCCAACAATTCGCTGCTTTTTTGTCAGTATTTCTATTCCCATTGTAAAAAATGCAGTATGACTGCTTTGCCAGGTCTGTAAATTTGAATGGGAACACGTGAGCTGAGCTGCCTATTTTAAAAGGGTTGTTGCAAGTAATTACAAGCGAAAAAATGAGAATACTTCACACCTACATTCTGACTGCAAGCTTCTCAGCACTGCTGGCTCCAGACTTCTAATTGTCAAAAGAGTTCAAGGTTTGGAAAGTTATTGGCATCGAGCAATACTGGATATTCCTAACTAGCATTGTGTCATTATTTGGCAGGATTTTTGCTGGGATAACTCCCAGATCTGTGACATAATCTGAGGGTTCTCTACATTACACCATATAGGCAATGCTCATGTTAGTATAATACATTACCATGTTTAATACCATTTGCTATTACTTGCACTTAATCAACTCTGGAACCAGTGAAACCATTGAGGAAAAGCAATTTCAGAGGCTTTCAACTGACAGTTTTCCAATGTTAAAGCACACATCTTGACCTAAAATTACGATTGAAGTTTGTAAGATGCAGCCTACGTATACTATTCCCTCTAAACAAACATCTATTACACTCTATAATCCTCTGGCAACTGAAAACTCATGAGAAAAGCCTAGAAAATAAAAATAATAATAATAAAAAAAGGAGAAAAACTTCTGTAAAAGTGCCCTAACTAAAAACAAAAAACTGTCAGAGTTTCCCTTTCTGGCCTGTCTTAATTTACTGCTTCAACAGTTTCATTCCCAACCTCCGCAGTTATGACAAGGCTCCAGCTCCACAGAACGGGCTCAGCTCCCGCACTTCCAGCCCCCTTCCAAGCTCACCCCCAACACAGTGATTCTGGAAACACCCACAGCCAATTTAACAGCACAGTCTGGAGGGGCTCCCATTCCCATGTTTAACTATTATATTCATTCACTCATAACATTAAATGCAAAAAGGGAGTGAAATAATTACACATATACATCTCCAAAATGCAGGCTACGGTTTACAGCAGCACGTTGTGGGTTAACATATCTCATAGGGTCTAATCATGAAAAGATGCTGAATATTAACCCAGCAAGAAATCAGGCCTCCTTTAGGTGCCACCAGCTGGCTACCCAGCATGTCAAATCACTAGTCACTTTTGAAAATCTTGACCTCATTATTTATTTTGCTGCCTCTCTATAGGAAAGGAACGGAGATTTAAATAAATGACATAATCCTTATTACCATTCCATTCATTCATGCAGGTCACTGCAATTTACCGCCAGGAAAAATAAACCCCTGCATAATATTCCTCAATGTAGGGCATTCAAACGGCTCAAAGCAGGAGAGGCAGCGAGGGGCTCCTGACAAATATTTGCTCAAGTGACCGCATCCTTCACGAACACATTTGCTAGGAAAAACAGGCAAAGAAATTTATGGTCAACGCGAAACTGCCAGCTCGGGCCTGGGGTAGTTACAAGGAAAGGGAGCGGGGGAAAGAAGAGGGAAAAGGGATTTTTAACCAGCTTCATGGCCTTAAATGGGGCCACAAGTCGCCATCTTAAAATAGCTTGCAACATCCCAAAGCATTTTTGCTCTCAACACGGATCAATCTGAAGTATCCAGCCCCATTATACCAGTTATGCTGACTACTCTTGGGTAGCAACACCTTTAGATCCAATAAAACTCATCCGGGCTAATCAGCAAGAGTAGGGGTGAATGAATTTGCTTCCTGAGACTTCAAGCCCTAATTCAGCTAAGCACTTAAATATATGTATAAGCCTTATTAAAGTCAACGGGATTTCGGCA